ACATTAAATCAAATAAAAGTATAAACCAAACAAAGTATGCATTAAATAATATGTTCAACAACATAATTAAAAGTGTACTTATTGAAGTTGTGCCCTGCGATTTTTGAGAGAATTGAAATCTTTTGTTATTACATCTGAATTGATATTGTCAGCAAGTTCTTTTTCAATGTAGACAACTATAGAATTTGCTAGAAAATCATTCTCCATCTTGTTGCGAAGAGCTGTTTTAACAAGTTTCATAGCTGAAAAAGCTCGTTCAGTAGTTGCCGTAGAAACAGGGAGAGTTAGCACAAGACGGATCAACCTATCAATCAAATGATATCTTTTTGACCTTTTTGTTGCAACTAATCCCCGACATAATTCAGAGAGTGTAGACACGTTTTGAAGTACAGGATGATGAGGTACGTCCGCCTCATAAAGTTTCAGCTGGCATCCCAAAATATGTAACTCTTTTGGAGTGAAATCCTGAGGATAAAATCTCTCTGCAAGGCTGCAAATTTTATCAATATTAAATGATTTAAAAGAATCACTAGGGTCCAAAGCTGAACTAAGAATAAGAAGTTCCATTGCCCCTTCACTAAACCTACTGTTCAACTCTGCCAATTGAAAATCTATTGCATCATTGAATATGTCAAAGTGGTAATGATGCTCAACTGTAATATTGTCCTTTTGCTGACAAGAACGACATGTTCCCACTTTATATTGAGCATTCATATCAGGCATGTCAATGTCATGTTTCTTGCAAAACAAATCAACTTTCCCAATAAAAGTTTCCCAACCATTTAATCTCAATTTTCCAAGGACATCTTTTGTTGTACCAACTAGGTTCATAGCATTCACGATGTCTTGAGACTTATGTTGTAGTTCTCGACAAAGGATATCTGTGAGTCCCATAATTTCTTTCAATAGATGCAAGATGAATACAAATTCGAATTGCCTAATCGCATTGTATCCACCAGTAGCTTCCCCACGTAAGGAGCCTGTGGATTCATCCTCCTTTATATTCTCAAGAACCGTACAAACTGCATCATACATTTCTATTAAGTCACAAACAGAATCGTAATGAGAACTCCACCGAGTAGCTCCAGGTCGATGCAAGGTACCAATTTGATTAGCTCCTCTACCAGTCTCTCGTTCACCAGCAATCAACAGCTCTACAATATTCATTGATTGAGCAACTTGTAACTCAGTATGACGTTTTGGAGAAGCCCTAATGACATTGACAATTGAATTCAATGATGAAAAGAATAACCAAATTGTAGCTACTTCTTTTGATGCTGAAACTAATGCTAACTGTAGTTGATGAGCAAAACAGTGTACATAATATGCATATGGGCAATCTCTAAGAAATAATGCTTGTAGCCCATTCCATGCACCCCGCATATTACTAGCACCATCATATCCTTGACCTCTCATCTTGTCAATACATAATTCATGGAGATCAAGTACTTTCTTGATCTCTTTTTGAAGTGTTGACGCAGTAGTGTCTTCAACCCACACAATGTCAAAAAAACGTTCACGTAGAAAACCATCATTATCAACAAATCTTAAAACAATAGCCATTTGCTCTCTATTTGACGTATCTTGTGATTCATCAACAAGGATACAAAAAGCAGCATGCCCAACTTCTTCACGAATTTTTTTTCTCACTTTGTTTGCAAGAATATTTAAAATCTCCTTTTGAATCTTGGGTGAGGTATATTTTGCATTTCCTGGGGCATTCTCTAAAACAACTCCAGCCACCTCATCATTAAACTTTGCTGTATGCTTGACCATTTCAATAAAATTTCCACGATTTTTAGAATCCAAAGATTCATCATGACCCCTAAAAGCACATGCCTGATATGTAAGCCATCGAACACACTCTATCGTTGTCTTGAGCCGTAACCGGTTTTTCAAAATGTCTTCCTTTGATTGTCGATTAATAACTTTGTCGACATGTTGAGATGGGTTCATCAAATCCTCCATACATCCTTCACAAGTATTATGCGATGAAGATGGACCTCCAACATGAGTCAAAAATACACAATTCTTTCCATCATTAACTCTTTTCCAATTGTTAAAACCCTCAGTAGTTAATGCAGGACGACCATTACCAAAAATAAAACAAGGAAAACAATAGACTTTATCTTCTGAAGGGGAATATTCTAACCATGGAAATTGAGAGAACCAAGAATATTGAAATCGACGATATTGCGACCCAAACTGAGACCTTGGATATTCTAATAATTTTGGTTGGTAAGGCCCAACTTTGATATAAGCACATCGAACCTCATCACGTTGATTAATAGGGTATTCAGATATTTGAATACGTTTACCAGGGTCTCGTTCCAAAAAAGCAACATCAAACTGGTGAGGTTCAACTAGGGGAGATGTGTGATGAGGTGACTCAATTGATGGTGAAGCCTTATCATTGAATGTAGAAGCCTTGTCATTGTCTAATTTATCACCATCATTTTTTTTCTTGAAGAATGAATCAATAGTTTTTGCTCTTTTACTTGCTTGGTTCTGATGTGACATTATAATCTAATAACACATATCAAAAACAGAACAATTTACTTTATACTAAACAAATCAATGAAAAAATAATAATAATTCGAGATTGTGGAGAGTTAGATACCTTTATTACGCTTGTTGACGATGAACTCGACTTTGGTAGCACAGAATACAAAACGCTGCAAATATTATTTTGGGACTGCTAGGGCTAGGGCTAAGTTTCATAAATATGAATATCGTCTTCTTTTTTTTTTTTATTAGACTGACTAAGATACTTATAAAGTTGTGTAGGACAAACTAGGCTAGGAATAGGATACTTCATCATATCAGACTAGGATACTTTATTCAATGGGAAAGTAGAACACTTTATTGTATAGGAAATAGACCACACAACTTAAAATAATAATAAAATAATAAAAAGACAATAGCAGCCAGCCATCAATGATCCAATGCATTGGCCACGTAACCCAAGCTGGCCCTCACAAATTAAGCACAACCACATACTTTTTTTTTTATTAAAAAAAACGTACCTGGGCTAGAGCCCACTCTAGCCCATATACTAGTTCCGCCCCTGGAGACGGAAATGCAACTCGAGTGTAAGTTGAGGCACTATTGACCTAAAAAGCCTATATATAAATTTGTTTACATTGATATTCAATTGCATGCAGTCCTCTTGGTTATTGGAAAAAGAAGAAAAAAAGAAGGTATATGTACTGCATGGAAAAAAGAGTTTTAATTTGAAAGAGAGAGCACCTCCTAGGGTGTGGTAATTTCTAGCTTTGCTTTCTTATGGCACGTGAAAGATGAATTCAACCAAAATGTACATTTTGTTGAAATTGATATTGAGAAAGATACAGAAGTAGGAGAAGCAGCTGGAATTTTGGATACCGCACATGTGTTCCATTCTTTATGTTGAAGTTTGGCTCACCAATGGATGCATGAAGAAGAAAAAAACTGAAGGGCTCAAAGGATGGAGCAACAAGAAAGGAGAAGAAGACGTTGCAAGGAGTGCAGGCAACTTGTCAGTTTTGGCCGAGAGTTACGGTCGTGTCTCTGTCTCCAAGCGACTGGTCGCCTATTCCTGACGACTGGTCAGTTCTTGAGCAGTGCCGTGCATAATTTCAACATTTTGGCTTATTTTGACGAAGTTTCCTATTATTTTGAGGGTTTCTAGCCTAATTTAATAGGGTTTTAGTTTCATATTCCTAGCTAACTTGTAACCTAAGTCTTATGAGTTATAAATAGGACTTTGGAGCCTAGGTTAAATCTTTCGAGCCAAAGAGAGGCCAAAGAATTTAGAAGATAGGAGAATTCAAGAGTGAATTTTCAAGAGAAAAACACAAGACATAATTCATGGGGGTGAATTCTTGAGTCTTTACAAGGGCATCAAAGGGTTTGAGCAACGGTGTGAGAGAAATTAAGACCTAGGGTTTTAGAGGAAAGAGAGCTAAGGGGTTCCTGTTGTAACCAAATTTGTTTATATTATTCTAGTGAAATTTCTCAAGGGGATCACCAAAGAGGAAGGAGGCACGAGGTTGAATCTCTATAAATCCTTGTGTTCTTTTGTGTTTGTTTTACTATCTTCGTGGTGTGTGTGTTTTATTCTCAAGGGTTTTGTATGTGCGCATCGCATAGTCCATCAACAACAAGTTCTTGGAGTGTTTTCACACAACAAGTGGTATCAGAGTCATGGTTTGCGACATGCTCTTATAGTTTTAAGAGTGTTTGCAACTGTTAATGATGAGGAGGGACAAGAATGCATAAGAGAAGCTGATGAAACCACAAACGAATAGCGTGAAGCTCGAGGTGAAGACATTCACAAGGAAGGAGAACTTCACGCTACGAAAAAGGAGAATGAAACATGCCCTAGCCTATCAAGGTTCAGCTGTTATCTTGGCAACGGAGGAGAGGGACGTGCTTGTCGAGTTAGCTAAGGGGTTCATCAAGGTGATGGAAGACACTGCAAAGTAAACACGAGAAAAGCTCAAACGGATGTTTGCGGCGAGATCGTTGTCAAACAAATTCTTCGTGAAGGAAGAGCTCCTCAATCTTTGGATGAAGAAGGGGAGGAATCTAAAATTTAGGAAAAAAAAAGGGTGCTTCGAGTGGGTTTAAGGACCATTAGAAGCAAAATTATCTGGTTTGGAAGGAGAAGTGAAACAAGATGAAGAATGCCAAAAGTTCAAGAACAACCAATGATGAACTTTTGACGGTTACAGATGAGGAGTGTAACAGGGACGAAGAAGGGAAGCTCTTAGTCACACAAAGTTTCGGTGGTGATTATGAGGGGGAAGATTTAACCTAACAACATTTATAAGCTTTTGGGGAGTACAATTGCAGGTGGTGCAGAAAATACTACCAAGGAGAAGCTTTGTGCTAAAGAAAAGTGAGCAAGGGATCTTACTAGCAAGTAGCTAGTGCAACGGAATGAAGCTGCAGGTTTGCTCAAGACTAGTTGGGTAAGGAAGGTTACTCAAGGTTGTATGATTAAAATTTTATCATCAATGGTGCTTCATTTCAAAGGTGTAGAAGTGGCGGTGTTGCAGGACAAGGTCCATAAAGGTGAAGTTAAGACAAAAGATGATGGGGAGAATGTTGTTGGGTCGGTGGCAACCAAAAAGGTACTTTTTACTATTTAGACCCAAATTTTCACGCCCTTGAGCTCAGACAAGGTAGGGTTTAAGGAAAGGAGAAATATTAGGAAATGAGGTAGGGGCCCAAAAGCCCATGTTGACTTTCAAAGTTTTATTTTCTTCATTTGTTTCTCAAGTTTCTATTCTTCATTGTTCCTCTAAGTACATTTTTCAATGTGCGATTTGTAGGTTCCTTTTAGCAAGGTAATGGGTTGCCTCAACTCCTCTAAGTTGATTGTGAATTAAATCACAACATTTAATTCTTCCTATTAGCGAATGCCAATTATAATTGAACCTTACAGGACTTCCACAAGCCATGGTTGGCCCCTAGCACCATGTCATGGCTACCCAAGCTAATTAAAAAAAGGTGAAAAACCTATTCGAGTTGGAATTTCTGTGGAATTGAGTCCTTCTCTATCATAGTACTCCTAATTCATACTATCAGGGTATGGATACCATTTTCAAAACCCTAATATGAATTTTCCACTTATATGATTACATTGGTTATGTTTAAAAACTTCTTTTCTAATCATATCCGATACTTTTCAAAGATTTCCCAATCATATCTTTCGAGCACTTTCTCTCTCCTTACTGAGAGCAGAGATTCCTTGTTGTATATTCACTTGCCTTTGTGAGTTGAATGCCATAAAAACAAGGAGATGAGTTTGAATAATGAAAATCACCTTTGAGCAATTTTTCTTTCAATGGTCGTATAGTGATAAATAAAAAAAATGACTTGCCCACAAGACAACTACGATGTCTCAAGTATGAGGACTAGCTTACACTATTGCAACTTATGAGTTCTAGTTTGACATGTGAGTAAGACTTCCATCATAGAACTTGTGGTTTGATTGCTTTCAGTGTACTTGTCCCTATAAGCACCTACACACTTATCTTAGTGTTTCTACACGCGATGACTTGAAACTAATCATTTTTCCAATTGAGCAGATATAGTGTGTACCAGTCTTTGAGGAAGATCAATGCCCCAATTGATAATCCTACGACTGGGAATGTTTGGGAAATGATGTGGAAGTATGAGAGGTTTCCTTATATCCAATCTAATTGCATAGCTCTTATACTATTTCATATTCAAAAGACTTGTCATTTTACTATTATGATAATAAACCAAATATCATGGTTGAAAACATTGATCTTGCCCGTTAGTGATGGTAAAATATCCAAAAAGCAACATCATATGTTTGGCTTTAGGGCAACAGTTTGCATATCAGGGCATGTCAAGAATTCAAGGTTCTAAGAAGGCGATGAGAAAGAAGTTCAGCATGGGGGATCTTTCTTCTACATAAGAGGTCCGGATGGCCCAAGTTTAGCTTGGGTGGAGCACCTCCTCACATAAGGTGCTATGAGGCAAGATGTTTCTTGCCATGGTGGAGCTCTTAGGAATTACTAGAATAGTTTCCAAGAGGTTGATGAGGTTCTAGGGGTCAACAATTGTTCATGGGTGATTGATGGTTCGCCAAGGTGGAGATTGTTGAAGTTTGGAACAACAATGGATGCATGAGGAAGAAGGAAACTAAGAGGTTGCAAGGATGGAGCAACAAGGAAGGAGAAGAATATGTCGCAAGGAGGAGATGGTGCAGTCGACTGATCGCCTTGGCCAAACGACCAGTTAGTTTTGGCCAAGTGCTCAGGTCACGTCTCTGTCTCCAGGCGACCGGTCGCCTATTCCTGGTGACCCGTCGGTTCATGAACAGTGTTGCGCATGATTTCTATGTTTTGGCGTGTTTTGACGAAATTCCCTATTATTTTGGGATTTTCTAGCCTAATTTAATAGGGCTTTGGTTTCCTATTCCTAATTAACTTGTAACCCAAGTCTTATGAGTTATAAATTGCACTTTTGGGCTAGGTTAAATTTGCTAAGCCATAGAGAGGCATGGGAATTTAGAAGAGAAATTCAAGAGTGAATTTTCAAGAGAGAAATAGAAGACAAAGTTCAAGAGGGTGAATTCTTGAGTGTTTTCTAGGGTCAAAGGGTTTGAGCAAGGGTGTGAGAGAAATTAAGACCTAGGGTTTGAGAGGATAGATAGCTAAGGGGGTTCTTTTTGTAACCAAATTTGTTCATATTCTTCTATTGAAATTTCTCTTGGGGATCACAAAAGAGGACGTAGGCACAATGCCGAATGTGAAACGCTGTATTTTTAATACATATATATATATATATATATATATAGTTGAAAAGAGTTTAAAAGTTTGGGTGTATTCAATTTAGATTTTGATTGATATTAAAAAAATACATGGAAATCTAGGTGTATTCAATTATGACTTTTTAAAAGTCAAACAAAATTTAGGTGTATTCAAAAAGTAATTTATTTTGGAGGAATTAATAAGTTGCCCAATTTCATTGGAAATTAAAGTGGTAAGTATAAATACAAAATGCCCTGACAAATCTTAAGTCAACCCTAGAAACTTTGAACGTGCTCTATGCTTTCCAGTCATTGAACGTGTGTGCTTGTCAAGTGGAGGTAAAAAATCTCTTCTCTTTTCAGACATGTATGATCTTTCATCGTATGTTTGAATATTTGTTCTTGTCGTACATCACCATATATCGATGAACAGTAGCATATATATCGATGTATATCATAATATGAACAGTTGCTGCTTGAATAGTTGTTGTTGTTGCCATCATATATAGATTAACATCAACATATTTGTTGTTGTACATCAAACAAGTTTTGTACGCTTTTTTCAACTTTTCCTTTTTCTTTTTGGTTGCTTTTATTATTATTTTATTATTCTATTTTATTATCTATAGGGTTTAGGATTGCTGTTATTATTATTTTGTTTTAGTTGCTGCTAATATATATATATATATATATATTGGTTTCTGTACATTATATCATATAGATGATAGCCTTCTTCATCGATCTATAGTCATTCTTTTTCTTGTTTTGTAAAATATCTATATATATCTAGTCTATGCCAAAACAAAAAGGAAAAAATTATCTTCATATATAATTTTTTTCCTATGAACTAATAAAGATTGCATGTATTATCTAGTAACATTATAAATGGGAGATTCACAACAAGGAAAATGAAAAACACCTTATAACCCATGGACCTCAAAAGAGAGCAATATGCTGTTAGAACTAATGGTAATTGCAATTGGCAATAGAACAGCTGCTAAGAAAAACTCAATTGGACTTGGTGATGATACTGATGCTAGAACGTATGAAGTTGGAGAAAGTAGACCTACTAGATTGCAGGATACCAATGAAGCATTTGTACCAAGTCAAAATGAAACATCATACCAATCTTTGTCATTTGGTAATTTTACTTCATCACCTTTTCTGGACACAAATTTGGAGGCTCTATTAGAAAAGCTCCCTCAAAGAAAGAAACCTAAAACTGAGTTTGAAGCAAATAATAATTCAGTTGAGACCATAACTCGAGCTGAACTAGTAGAAAAAGTTTATGTGGGCATGGATTCAATTGCTGCAATTACCACTGAAATTTGAGGAATGCATAGCCTAATGGAGAAAAGAGAGAAAGAGAGAGAGAAAACCAACAATGTTTGGGATGCTATCAAGGAGACTCCGAACTTGGATAATCGTGCTCGTTACAAAGCACTTGGGCTGGTTCATAAGTTGGGAATGAAAAATGCATTCCTGAAAATGTTACCTGAAGAGCGCTTAGAGTGGATACTATACAATAAGGAATGAGTGTGGTTCTTTGAGATTATGTTTACCATTTTAGATTATACTGAAACTTTGGTTTAAACTATTTTTATCATGTTGGTTTAAAATATTTGTAAGACTTTGGTTTGGAAGTATTTACCATTTTGGAGAAGTGTTAAGACTTTATTAGTTTGGAATTTGTTGAACTTTGGTTTAGAATTAATTATTTGGGTAATGTTTATGTGTGTTACTTATGAGTATTGCTTGTGTTTTATGTGCCTTTAGGCTTTTTCCATTTTGTCTTTTCATTAATGGTATTTTATTTTAATCTATATAGTTATTTACAATGTTATATGTGCATTTCAGATTTTTTTTGTTATTAATGGAGATGGAAGAAGTAGATGTAGTACTATGGACGATGAAGTTAGAGAGACATGATAAACAACCCCCAAAAATAAAACATTTTAGAACTCTAATAAACTCTTTTAAAATCTATGATAAAACTCTAACGAACACCATTAAAATCAATCTAGGAATTCAATCAAACTCTATGTGGAGTTTATAGAAATCAATTAAAATATATTGAACTTTATAAACTTAATAACTCCATTTAACTCTTTTAAAATCTTAACTAAATAGCTTTATTTAACATGAGGTGTTGGCAATTTGATGATAACTATCCTAATCTTGGAGACCAAGTTCCCACGTGGTCATCACCTCCCCACCAATTAGAACAAATTGAATCCTCCTGAGTATTACTATAAATAGGACATTTCCTTTGTTTTTGAAGCATTTAACCTTGAATGAAAGTTCATGCAAAGAGAGAAAAACGTAGATGGAGAGAGAATAGTGAGGAAATTCTTCGAGGAGGTATATGACTTAGCTTGTGTTTTCTTAACTTGGAGCTAGCTTTGGAAACAAGGTAGGGATTTCTTGGGGGGCCTTTACGGGGATTGATCTGATTATTATTGATATTGTTAATTATCATTATATTATTTATTAATATTGACATGATCATATGTTATCGGTGATGGCTAGAATTCTTGAGTTAATAAAGAAAGTATGGAAAATAGGATAATGGGAAGAATTTTTTGTGTAGTTGAGTCTAACTCTTGGCAGGTACTAGGTCTCAGGGATCCCACAGTGCATGTGGTTTTTATTGGGTGATTCAGGACTGGTGACAGGAAGTTAGACAAGAGGACTAACAAAAGGGGAATTATGGGATGATTGAGATGAATGTTAGTTCATATAAATGGACATTCGGGACCAAGTGGTATAAGCATGGTATGGGACGTGCAGGTTTGCTTGTCCAATTATATGAATTAACGGGAGTAGATGAAGAGCATTCATGCATTATTATTATTATTATTATTGACAAGACCAGCCCTGAATTTCTCAAAAGCCGGGACGAATCCTGTGGAATTCCTGACATCACCCTGATGTCGGGCCCACTTCTGAAACTATAGCCACCTTTTTCCAAAAAAGGATAAGGGCACGAGACTTTTTGCCGAAATTTCGGCAGAGTCTCCCCTATAAATTGAACATTCCCCAAATTTCAACCTGCACAAAATTCACAATTTAATATCCCAACAGGCATCACGCACAATATAATTTCATGCAATTCACATAAATGGCCTCCGGCCTTCAAATAATCCGTAAACAACCTACAAACAAAGTTCTTATGTCAAAAATAGTACCTTAACCAATGCAAATAGTAAGCTCAAACATACTTATTAATGTCAAAGGACATTTCAACATCTAACTTACCAAAATATCAAACATACAAGGTTTCAACCTCCTAACATAATCGCATCTCGTTCTCACCCGAATTTCAGGACCAACGACAAGGTCCGCACCACATTCAATAAAACACAAGGTTTAACCTGCGACTGCACCTAGGCATCACCCTAGGCTGCCGACGTACTCTCGTCGAGGGATCAAGCCACACGTAATTCTTTCAACAACAATCCTCGTCCCAAAACATATAAACCAATACAGTAATACAAATTCATATATTCTAGAATTCATTACATTCCCTTTTTTAATTTAAATCACAACTCACCAAACACAATCTTTTTCAAACATCTCTCTAAATAATCACATAATCTCTCCATACGCCAGAACATTCAACGCTACGTATGGGGCTTGTCAACACGCCGGAAAATCCTACGCTGCGTGCGACCTCATCATCATATCACAATATCTCCCCATATGCCGGAACTACCAACGCCACGTATGAGGCCTGTCTGCACGCCGGAAAATCCTACGACATGTGGGACCTCACAACCATATCACAATAATCTCCCCATACGCCGGAACTACCAACGCCACGTATGGGGTCTGTCAACACGCCGAAAAATCGTACGACACGTGTGACCTCATCATCATATCACAATATCTCCCCATACGCCAGAACTACAAAAGCCACGTATAGGGCTTGTTCGCATGCCAGAAAATCCTACGACACATGAGACCTCACAATCATGTCACAATATCTCCCCATACGCGGGAACTACCAACGCCACGTATAGGGTCTGTCAACACGCCGGAAAATCCTACGCCATGTATGACCTCTCATCTCATATCACAGGATGGTGCTTACAGTGGAATCAAACCTCTTAATAACTTTATAATATATATATATATATATATATATACTTTTCAATATAAACCTCAACCACAATATAGCATCCGATAATCCCCCAATTAAAGACAATAAATTAATATCATAAATCCACATAATCAACATAACTCCACATCGCGCAAGACATGTCACTAGGGGCATTATAATCCTTCTAGGAAGGTAAGACTACCTCGGAAAATTCAAGGTCAACAAAGGGTCAAACTACCCAAACTTGGTCAAACGGGCCCACTGGGCCCACGACCTCCGTTGTCCGATCCAAAAGTTCCTATGTGTTCTACAAGGCTTAGGACACACGTCCTGCAAGTTTGGTTCAGATCGGACGGTCGGATCGCTCATGATCGCACGATCAGACGGTTACTATAACCCTAGCTCTAGGGTTGGCATTTTCGGAGTATCCGGAACTCCGTTTTATGATCCGTCGAATCCCACATGATCCTTAGGATGTCCAGATTAACCTACAATAAACTCAAGACCATCCAATAGTCCAAACCTAGTGAACCCGGATTCAAATAGAAATCCGAGCACACCTACGCACTCGTGAGGACCAGGAGATTACATTGGGAGAAAATGCCTTTTTTGTACAATGCCCACGAGCCGCCACACGCGCCGACAGTGCGTGGGTGTCCAAAATCACGGCTCAAGACTCCTACCTTAGGTGTAACACCCTATTTTGAGTTACTTTTGTTCTTAGGCATGCCCCAAAAACTGACCAGAATTGGCCGGAATCGCTATCCAACAACCGGCCGAACCCTAACTCAAAAATCAAACCTCCTAGGCTAGAAATTGATGCAATCCTACCCAACATCAGCTAGATTATGAAGAAGGGATGAATTTCCATACCTTAATCGCCAAAAATGGCTGTCGGAGGAGAGAGATTGAAGTCGGCGAAGTTTCAAGCGAAACCGGGCTTTCTCTTCATTTTTCCGGTGAAATCACAGCGGCTGGCGGCGGGGCCTGGCTGGGGTTAGAAGAGGACAGCAGCCTGGTCATTTTGGTACCGGCCCCATTAACTTTGGTGGCCGGACGAGCACGGCTGGCCAAAACGTGGCCGGCTGTTACAGCCGTCGCGAGAGAGGAGAGAGAGATTCTGCGCGGAGGAGAGAGAGAAAACCAGATTTTTATCAAACCCTTTTTCGCCAAAATTATGGTTATACCACTGAGGGTATTTTGATCGTATCTCTCTCATTACAACTCTGATTCCAGCCCACTATGTGTCTACGGACTCATATCGCTGTGCTCTATGCAACGGTACAGTCGGAACAAAGTTACAAGAAAAAGCTAAATGCAGAGGTCAACAACAAAGAGCCCAAACTAGACCCGTCCAACCAGTAAGAGACTCAAGGAAGAGCTGGGAGACCATCTCTCAACAAGATAGAAACCACGTAGGGTGGGGCGTATTAACCAAATTTTAAAAACATAACCAATTCCAAGATAATTGAGCAAACGATGACTCACGATGATGAAGCTCATGTAGGAAAGGGTAGAGCTTCCAATTGTCCATCGCTTTCCTTCCATTCAAAGCACTGAACAAATCTAAACAATTAGTTTCCAACGCCACATTTTGAAGGTTCAAAGAGGAGGCAAGGGAGAGCCTAACAATAGCAGCATGAGCCTCACACTTGACTGCTTAGGATAAATTGCAATGTTGAGTTGCAATAACTATGAAGGCCCCATTGTGGTCGCGGATGACTAACCCCACGCCAGCTGCAGGTGAGGAAGTTGACCAAGCCTCATCCACATTAACCTTGAAGACATCCAGCGAAGCATGGTGGGGGAATGTTGATTTTGCTCCTTCGAAGAGTCCCTCAAAGCCAGAGTCTTAGCACGATCAAACTCCCCATACGTAAGAGATCTATTTGGTTTATCTCTTTGTCCATGTTTTTGTTCCCAGTGCGATCTATTCACCACATAAAACTTCATCTACAAGGTTGCTCGTTTCTCATGGTGCTAATTATTGTATGCTTCTTTGTAGGACTGTATCAGGGGTCAAAATGAAGAGTGAGTATAGACAATTTATTCAAGCAAATGAAGAGAAGATTCAAGACCTTTGGTTTCCTGATGTCCTCATTTTGTAGTTCAATTTGTTCCTCCCAAACAGGCTAGCTCAATAACACCTTCAATTTTTACAATTGTATCATGTATTGATCAACTACACTGTAGATTATTATACATCAGAGTTGCCAATGCATCGTTACAGTATTCGATTCTCCGATCTTGTATTTCCTCCAATTTGTAAGTTTGGGAGGGTTTTGTTGAAGAATATAAAGTCCCACATCGGAAACTTGACTAAATAAATTACAAGTTACCACTCCTAATAACACCGAGGCCATTTGTGATTAAACTTCACACCTACTAGTGTGATCACCCTTAATCTTATACAAAGAGATTTACAGTGAAATAA